CTCGACCCCACCCGCGTGACTCGAACCTTATCTGATGATACGCTGTCCACTGCCCTAGATCAATCCCCGATTAGCACACTCCCTGATAGGTCCACAGCGGGTGATTCCAACGAGACTATTTCTCCCAGCGACGAGGAGTTGGGCGGCACAACGCTAGAGATGATCCAATCCGTTTTGCGAGGTGCGAGCCAGAGGGTGGGCTCAGCCGAAGTGGCACCACACGCACCCAGTGCCAACGAGGCTGAACCACCACACACATTCGCCTTCGCTTCAACCCAGCAAGCCGTATTTGCGGATCTTTCTTCCTTTCTCTCACCACCGTCCACATCTATGGCTGAGGCCCTATTTGACAATCTGGCCACCGTGACCACCACCACCGATGATGCCGCCGCCAGTGATGTATGGGCAGCGGCGTCGGTGCCCACTGGCCATGCTGGCGCTCTTGGAGAGCTCTCGTTCAGTTTCAACGACTTTATGGAGGAAACCCCGGACTTCTTCCCTCACTCCTTCGCGAGGTCAGAGTCCGTTTCTCCGATGGATGGGGATGATGAAGAGGAGGAGCGGGAGCCAGAGGGACCGGCTGCGACGCTGGCAGGGCCCGCTCTCGCTGCCCTGGACGACATGATCGACCCCATGCGGGAGGTAGCGGAGGTTCCCAGGCCCGTCTATTTGCAGCTGGGGTATTCAGGTGGGCCTCAAGCGACTGAGGTGCCAGAGAGAGCCCAGAGGAGTGCGGCAGAAGTGGCACCATCCACGTCGGATGTGAGCTCATATACTTGATTGCCTTTTATTTCGAGCGTTGTATTTACGATCATCTTTTGCAGATCTTGTCGAGTTCATTACGCATCCTCAGTGACGAGTATGCCTACGCGACTAGAAGGGCCGCCGGCCGCGAGGCAGAACTGCTATCACCTGATGCGGAGCCCACGTTCAGCTCCTGGAATCGTTCCTACCAATCCATTCGACCATCACAATCAGCCTCTAAAACGTACATTCCCCCGAAGGGCGCGATGACCTTCGAGGAGATGTTAGTAAAACGGGAAGTCCAGGAGGGGCTTCGATGTCGTCGATGTCAATCAATGTTGAATAGCGTCGGCGCCACCTGCGCCAAATGCACACCCAGTGTTGAGGCTCATAGAATCGCCGCATAGGCGAACCTCGTTTTGAAAACTTGGACCATCGTCTTGACAGCTATGTTTTGCTTTGTTTTCTATATGCATATTTTCAGGTCATCTCTCGTGTTTTGGGACGCTCGTTCTCTTTCGTTTTCCCCACATGTTCTTTCACTTTTCTTCGTTCTCCTTGGGCATTAATCATATTGTAATCAAATACCGTATATATTTATTCATTTTGGATGATTTTATTTGGCCACTTGAGGCGTTTCAGGTCACCAGCTGGCTCCTCTTGGGTCCGTGGCACCCTCCTAACCTATACAAAAGTTCGGGGTCTTGATGGCAATATCTCTCGATGGGGCCTCAGAGGCGCCGTATAGTATCGATGTAGAGAGGAAAAGAAAGAAAAAAAAGCACGGAAGGAAGAACAGCTGACCGTATATAACATAGAGGATATAGAAAGCAGTGATTAACGGGTAATTGGAAGCTATGTGCATATGTAACAGTCGGACATAATGGGAACTGAAATCCCTCCGTCCAAACCACGTTACTCATCTTCTTGAACCTCGTCCAGAAACCTACGCCCATAATGGACATACAAAAACCTCAGACTTCAGACCTCGCTGCTTCAATGCAGGAGCTATCTCTTGATGATGGTTATGTCATTATCTCTCCATTTACTACTCATGGTGTAAGCAGCCCTCTTGTTGTGTGTGACTACGAACCTCCATATCCAGGATCCCCTTCCTGCGCCCTTGACTTGGCCGAAATGGAGCCCACTCGCGGAAGGTGTCGGCCATTGCCAGAATGCGTGCAATACGTCGTCGCGTTGGAAACCCATCTCCTGAACAGATCCCCCTCGAAATGGTCGAATGACTGGCATTGTCATATGGCCTCCGGGAAATGGCACGTATACTACGGCGGAATGCGATGGTGGTTTAACGAAGTCCTGCACGTTCCCGGTGAACCGATCTTGTTGTTGTTCTCCCAGGATAATGAACGAGAGACAGGTGGCGATCGCGAATTGATCGAAGTCAATGGACGGTTTTTCTTGAACACGACCAGCGATTACTTCATGGAGCGAACGACAGTCATTATCAAAGGAAATCCAACGCTTGAGACCGTCCTCGCCGGCTTGCGTGGCGAAGTGCCTGTATTATATGGTGAAGAATGGGATAGGGACGAGCTGGCGTTTATCAACCAAGAAGTCTGGAAATCCCGAGCGAGGAGGGCTCGGCAAGATATCTTTGGGGAGCTTCTTTTTCTATTGATGCTGACTGGTGGTCTGTGGTACATGGACTAACGTAGGCTCATCCACACAATGCCCATGTATTCTACTTTGAAAGGCCACTCTTCGGCTTTCCCGATAATAGGTCTGTGCAGCGACTTCGGGCTTGTGACTGGTAAGGTTGCGAAAGCTAACAACGATGGCGGTCGCCAGCTAGCGGATTTACGAAATGATCAGTTCTCGCTACATTTGTTGTTGGTCCTTGAAAGTAGGTACCAGTGTTTTGCCCTCTAACGCGTTTTTATGATGGATGCCTTCGTCGGGCATTGTTGGCGGATAAGTATCTAGAGAAGAGCTTTTACCTTCCCTCTGATATGCTTGTTGTCCCAGTATATTTATACACCATACCTTGTGCGTGCCTGGGTTTTTACGACCTAACCTAATTGCACCACAGAAAGTCGACCGTTTTCTCCACCCACACCACTGCGTCTTCCTAGCTCGACACAATTCTCTCACCTTATGGCACCAATTGCTCAGATTACTGGGGCCGATCCGCGCGGTCAATCGCTCGAAAGTGTTCCAGATGATATTCTGTCGGATATATTTATCTATATGGGAGTCGCCCAAATACTCCAGTTACGTCTAGTGTGTCTTCTTTGCTCTCTCTTAGTGAATTTCTGCCCGAGTGCTGAATCGCGTTTCCAGGTCTCTCACCGGGTGTCCGAGTCTACCTGAGCGCGTCCGCTGTGGGTGACCCTCGCCTGGGAAAGAATCATACATGAAAACCTTCCTTAGTCAGCGGATGCCCTGGCCTCTTACCACTGTTCCCACGAGGACCATAGAAACACTCATTGTGAGGGCACTACTACTCGCCAAGATGTGGCGCCTGAGCCAGCAAGAAGTACCATATTCCAGCCCGGCTCAGTGCATTCGCTGTCTACGCGGATCCGTCACTTGGATCCATTTAGTTCGATCGAGATGGTTACTCATCGGGCAAGAGAGTGGGCGACTGGATTTGTGGGACTTGCAGGGAGGAAATATTGCCCGCCTAGCTACATCTGTTGGCGGTATGAATGGCTATGTATCCTGCGGAATTACCTTCATGTCAGGGGATCAACTGAAGCTAGTCGTTGCAACAAGGTAAGTACAACCAACCTTCCGATACAGCCTGCGTTTAAACCTGCCAACTCCAGAGTACAGATCATGTGTACGGCATGGATCTTTTTCTCCCCCATCTAATGGCAGACGACCTTGGACCGATTGCTGACGAAAGGATGACCCCGAATTATACAATTGTTGGGTTTTCGGTTATTCTGGATGCTCAGGATACGGCCTTGGCGTTCTCGAAATCCACGACAGAAAACCTCCCTCACATGGTAGACCAACTTACGGGAGGGCGTGCTCGATTGATGAAGGGTCACAACGACATTAAGGTACAATTTCCTTTGCGTCTAGACGAACTGTAGCCGTATAAAGTTGACTCTCCATGTCTAGCCACAGTATACAGTTGATATCCAGATCCGACCCGATTTGTCATTGTCGCAAAGGATTGGAACCTCATACTATACTGCACATCGGACGTCACTGCTGCATTAGAGAAATCCTGTTCCTCAAGCGGAGCGTTGCAGGCTGTATCGGCCACTGTGTCTTTTGAATACCCTGGCAAGCAGATGCCGTGGCGGGCGTCCATACACTCCCCATCACTACACAGGGGATCAGCCTTCGGTGGATCTGGCTTTATCGTCATAGGGGCGTACTTCAAGAATGTCGGACGCCGCCCAAAGTCGAAGGGAGGATGGGTGAGATGGATTCTGGCGAGAGGGGTTGGACCGCCTTCGAAACCCTACCTACCGTCGTTAACATACTTGGACACTCCCAATCCGCGGACCTTGCCCCGATTCACACCACTCGTCTTGAAGATGTGCTGGGGTGCCTCGGGCACCCGCATTGTAGTCATGCGGTCCGATGAGCGATACCAGAACATAAAGTACCCGACAGTCTTGGAAGGATTGGCGTATGATGGTTAGCTTCAGTCCCGACAGCGCCAAACGACCATCCTCGTTGGTCCATTCCCAAGACGTCAATAGGGGATATGCCATGGCGTTGTGTTCTAGATGAGGCTGGCGGGATCATTGTTGGGGCGATGTGCTCCGGTCGCGTATGGGTGATCGATGCAGCTGCTCGTTCTGGTATCACGCCCAGCGAGTGCCGTCCAATTTCTATTATGCTCCAACACCACACCTGATTTTTAATCGCTCCAGCTGGTATAGACAATGAACCATTTGTTCGTGGTGACATCATAGCGCGTACCCCGCGTACGGACGTTAAAACTTTACTGACGCGTCTGTTTATTAAGGCAAAATTGTTGATTGATTGCAACGCCGACTTCTCTTTTCTCTCTGGTGTCTCCCTCAGATCTCCCAAGGGTCAAGTACGATTGTTATGTGCTGGTGTGCTGGATTAGCAAGTTGGTTGAGCCAGCCGTTATGGGATAGGCGCATCGAGATTTGCAGACATGAAGACAGGAAGAAGGTACCTAGAGGTGAGATGTAACCCTTGTGGCAAGGAATTCACCTGTACCCATTGTCTCTAGAACATGCTGTAGATTCTAAGGCCTTATCACCCATCTTTGCTATAAAATACTTGAGGCCAAAAAGAGCTTCCCAGCCAGGGAATCGAACCCTGGGCACGACTGCGCTGATTGAGCCTCCGCATTGCGCACTGCTAAGGCTCAATCATGAGAGAGTCGTATGTTAGCCACTACACCAGCTAGGATTGATGGATGTGAGGTTTACACAAAATAAATACATAAGTAATTTAGCCATGGTACCATTTAAAAGCTTCGATTCAACCACCCTGGCCTGTGAACCTGTTGATCGATCCCTCACACTATTGGCGCTGCGTCGCTGCTGCGCTACATTGCCTTCGTTAACACCATCGGCACATCAATGTCGCTTAAATCGCGGGTTGTATGGACGTGTACTTGCCGATCGATCTGCTAATCGTTGGCTATAAAGTCTTCAACACATCTGCTCTGGTGTCCTGCTTATGCTCCCCTTCTATGTCTTGTTCTTTGCAACGTCGAATTCATACCGGTTCATCGTCGATGCCGACTCGCATCTGGTGCCCGACGTCCACTAACCACCACGCTTACGTCCGCTCATGGAAAGCGTCTTCTGGATTATGATGGAGACTACAGTATGGCGATCATCCACGTCAAGGGTATGCATCTGGGTAATTATAGCTGTTCCCGTTTGATGTTGAGGTAGCAACTCACCCGGGGTCTGCTACGGATCGGAGGAGACCTGTTATGACGGATATACGAGCAAAATGAACGAGTCGATGAGTCATTATCCCAGTTTCGTTCGTCATAAATGCAGGAGATAGGTTCCAGGTGAGCAAAATGCCGCTTGGCTAAGCTAATTGGATCGATGTCGTTCTTATCTCGTGTAAAATGTTCATCTCCGGACCATCAGTCATCGCATAGGCGGTCAACCAAAATTGGGTTCGATGCCATGGCGTCGTGAAATCACGGATTCGGTGGGGAGGAAGCTCCAGCGGCCGATTCCATCCCGGAATCTGGCGTTCCCCGTCATTTGCGCCAATATCAACATAACGGACAACACCATTGGAAAGCTTTTTGGAACCGTTCAAGGTATTTCCAAAGTATGGATTGGCAATTGTAGCTGTGACAACGGCGGATACGCCTCAGTTATCCAGTCCAGGAAGGCAGTAAGCATTGAGAACGGCGCTATACCCACACTTTGTTGGCTGATGACTGTACGGGGTGCCGCAGATACCAACTGTTACCAAGTTTCTAGATCCCGTTGCCACTGTTCAACGTACAGTTGATTAGTGCTCCCTAAAGAGAAGAATGAGGAGAGAACAGTAGTGATGACGTATGTGTATTGGACGGTAGAATTGATCCACCGTCCAAAACTTAGTGCGTGACGGGGCTGATATACGATTCCAACTACGACATGGACCGACAGCTGGCTCAAAACACAAGGAACGTACATTTGATCTTCAGTGGTGCGATAGGGCCGTATCTAACTATAGAAATGAATATTGATAGTGACGAAGGTCTATCTTCGGGAGGTTTTTATGTGCGAATAGAATGCTGGGTGATATTAGCGTTACGGTGGTCTTTATTGTGACCCGCCTTCAAGTGGGACCAGTACCTGGGCAAGATCGAGGTTGCATTCAACGGACATGGGAAGATCGTGGGCGTATCTGTTGGACAACACGAGCGCTCAAGCCCAAGTTTCAAGCGCAAATCAACGAGTGGAACAAGCCCTTCGGGGCGATATCCAAGATAGTAGCTGGACGATCACTCACTATGCCTGACGCGATGACCTATCAATATCAGGAGTGTGAATCGATCAGCCAAAGCTATAGGCAGATTCCTCGTTTCGATTTGGCTAAGCGCCTTCGGAAATGCGAATACCGATGCTCATGTTGGAATACCGACTGAACAATAGTGTCAAGGGCAACGCTGCACTTATCAAAACGCAAGGGGGATCCGGGCATATATAGACGCTGGCAACGTTACCCAAGGAGAGATTGAAACGGCCTTCTCCGTTCCAGAATACTGTAGTGGATATCGCACTATCTGGCAAAAAGTGGTGGGCGTCTTTGAAAGTGCGGGAGATCGACTTGGCAGAACGGTGCACTAACCGCCCTAAAATTGTAGCTATCGTCTCAGGTCAGAACGCTGCTGGACAGTATACGACATCCTTTGCGCAGGTATCGAAGGGCATATCATTGTCGTGCAATCCTGCGGCCCCCCAGGATCTTGCCTCCTTTCCTCTGCGGATCGGCCATGCCCGACATCGGAGTGACAAATCGAAAAATTATACTCTGGTGACCATCGATGATGTGGCTGCAAGTGGTGATAAGATTGTGTCCAAGCAAACGAGTTTAAGCGCTTTGAACACTTTTGGATGATGTGTTCCAAAAGTATGTAAGCGCTCGCTCACCCCTTGTGGCAAAGGTTGAAGGGTTACGGCGTAACATGTTGCGTTGTGGCAAGGTTACGTGTCCCCGGCAGCGCAGCGTGCAACTCCACAGTCACGCAAGTTGAGATTTGGATCGAGTGGTGTGTTGACATTCCTGAAGTAGGTTAGAGTTGGTAAGGAGCTTTGTCAGGTTGTGCCAAGCTGACTGCGGGCGTGGGAGGAGGAACGTGATGTGATCCTGGATTGGGTGCATCGTCATGTCAACACGCCCTTCTTCGGGACGGGTAAGAATATTGTCATCACCCACGGAACGCGCGTCAGCACCCGGGCGCTAAATCAAACCTCGTCCGCTCCGAAAGTTTATATAGATTCGTTCTTCTCTTGGCTCCTTCCCCCAAGCACTTGAACTCCCTCGAACTTGCAAGAGTCATGGACACCCTCGACGTCAAGCAGCAGCCCACCACTACCACCAGCAATGAACCAACTCTCAATCAAGAACCCATCGACAGCGCCGGCACCAGTGGCCTTGGCACAACACGCTTTTGGTAAGAGCCTCACCACACCGCCTTCATTTATTTCGGCTGATCGCATTTTTCGTCTCAAGGCTCGTTTTCGCGTCTTTGATGATGGTCAGTTCCAACATCCGCTCTCTGTATTCTTACATATCTGACACTCCGTGCATTCTGAAGGCTACATTCGTTGCCGCCCTCGATGGTAGGCCACAAAAGCCACAAACAAGCCCACAACCCTTTGACTGAAAAACACGCATATTTTTTTTTTCAGTGACTGCCGTGTCCACCGCGTTGCCCACCATTGTGTATAAACTTCATGGTATGGCGGAACTAACCGGTTATAGTACTGTACATCTGCTGACCTTTATGCACATTGTAGGCAGCGAGTTCACGTGGGTCGGCTCAGCTTATGCCTTGGCTAGTACGGCATTTCTTCCGATGTCCGGTATGTCCTATAATTCGGGGTACCCCCGAATGAAGACTGATATGACACCTCAAACCAGGTGGTATGGCTCAGATCTTTGGAAGGAAACCCGTCTTGCTGGGTTTCCTTATCTTCTTCCTCGTCGGATCGGCCATTTGTGGCGCCTCTAAGAACATGAGCATGCTCATCGCTGGACGAAGTACGCTCGTTTATTCGATGACATTGAGCGTCAGGAAACTTATCCGTTTGCTTACAGCTGTCCAAGGTGTTGGGTGTGGTGGAATCCTCTCCCTTACGGAGATCGTTATCGCCGACTTAGTCCCTCTAAGCCAAAGGGGCTTGTATATGGGTCTTATCGGTATGGTTTGGGCGGTTGCTGCTGCAGCAGGTCCACCTATTGGTAAGTCGGGAAGTCTCAAGGCGTCCTCCACATCACCTCATAATATCGACCCATAGGCGGAGCTTTCTCTGATTCGAACTGGCGCTGGCTGTTCTGTAAGTTGTTCGTGTTACCTCCGTATGGCATCGATCCTAACACTAGGGTTCATCTAGACATGAATGTGCCATTGACAGCTATCGCCATCGTTGGAGTGGTATTCTTCCTCAACGTCCGAGCACCGAAGGATGATTTCCGCAGTAAGATGAGGAGAATGGACTGGACGTGAGTGAATGCCTTCCCAATCTCGATAGCCAATTGCTGACAGGGGTCGCCACAACAGAGGGAACTTCCTTGTTGTCGCTGCTACCTCGGCAACCATCATCGGCCTCACATGGGGAGGTGTCCGATACCCTTGGTCATCGTTCCGCGTTCTCGTACCCCTTGTCCTCGGGCTGGTTGGGCTGGTCGTCTTCATTGTGTACGAAGCCCACTTCCCAGTGGAACCCGTTGTCCCTTGGAAGTTGTTGAAGAACCGCACGACTCTGAGCGGGTGGGTTATTTCTATAGATCTGCAGCGACCGTTAGCTGACTTCCCCACGTGAAATAGGTATTTCATCACATTCTTCCACAGCATCGTCGTCGCTTGCGTCACATGTAAGTTTAAGCGCTTCAAAGCTACGAAAGCGTTTGGCTGATGAAAGATATCTTCTCTGCAGTCTATGTTCCTGTCTATCTGCAAGCAGTCAAGGGTCAATCGGCCATACGCTCTGGAGTTGTCCTCCTCGCCACCGCCGCCACGATCGCCCCTGGCGCAATTGGTGAGTGTCCTTACGGAATCTGTCCACCCAAATACTGAACTGACTTTCGACATTCTTGTAGTGTGTGGTGCCACAGTCACCGTTCTCAAGATCTACCGACCTCAGAACATGATCGGCTGGATGTTCATTACCGTCGGCGTGGGTCTGTTGACTCTACTCAAATACGATACGACCTTGTCAGGATACGTCGGATATCAGATCTTGGGAGGTATTGGGATGGGTATCCTGTTCCCAGCGCCGTCGTTTCCCATCTTGGCATCTCAACCGTTGAGCGAGACCGCACACGCGTTGGCGCTCTTCGCATTCGTCAGGCAATTTGCTAACGTGAGTACTTTCCCTCTACTTATGGTCGTCAAAAATTGCATTCTAAATGGTTTTCCTTGTGTAGACATGGGGTATCACCATCGGATCCACGATCCTCCAAAACGGTCTAAGGAAGCACCTCCCCGAATCCGTCATCGCCCAACTATCTGCCTCGTCAGGTGGCGTCGGCAACGAGATCGCATATGCCGTCATCCCCATCATCCCCAGCCTTCCCAAGGACCTCAAAATTCAGACCCAGATGGCCTTTGCGACGAGTCTAAGGCTGATCTGGTATGTCCTGTTAGGGATCTGTGGGGCGGGCCTGTTGAGCGTGTTCTTGATGAAGGAGATACCCATGCAGGAGGTGACTGCTGAGGAGTA